GGACCCCAACCCCACAAATTAAGGGCTACAGAGAAACCGAGGTGCCAGAGCGCAGCGGTCGGGCAGAGGGCTTTACCAGCACAGCCCACCCGCCCCCCATCCAGGGACACGGGTACCCTGAGGGGGAGCTGAAAGGGGCAGCTCGTGTCCAAACAGGATCCCAGCGCGTTGGGATGACAGACCACAACCCCTTCTGCAGGCCGGATCCCGCTGGAACATTTCACCGGGGAAGCGGAGCGGCAGCGGGGTGCAGTCCCGGCTGCCCGTGCCAGGGCAGCGCTGCCCTCCAGACCTCTGCGGGGAGTGCAGCAGCCTCAGATTGGGCCCTGGGGGAGAGAGAAGCAGGGGTGCATCTCCTAGGGGTGAGCCAGGCTTGTGCGGACCCCAAGCAGCTGGGGACTACGATGTGCTTCCCACCCTGAGGGAGGATGGTTAAGCAGGGTGATGTTGCCATCCAAATGTTGGACTAAGGCATCCAGTGAGTCTTCAGCCAGCTCATACAGTCCTTTTAACTCAAAGGAACGGCTGAGATCTGTTACTGTGCCAGGATGTCCTTACCCGAGTGATAAACGTGCTGAGATTTTTCTAAACTGCAGCTCTTTTCACCAAACGCTATGCCTGGGCACACAGCCATGGTGCACAGCTGGCGGGGCTGACCCTGCCCTGGCACTGCTGTCCCTGGGATGTCCCCAGCACCGTTGGTGACAGCCTCTCCAGGCTGCAAGCAGCCTAACACCTGCAAGGAGAAGAGGAGGAAAGTACCCCAGGGCCATGGCCCCAGCCGTGAGGATGGGCAGGAGGACAGGAGAATGCTAGGCACGTGGACCCAAGCAGTGGGATTCATCCACGGAGCATCATTCGATGCTAGGCTCCACTGCTGGTAAGCAGTCAGTTCCTGTAAACGGTTTCGTGGTCCCTCAGCAATTATTTGTGAGTAACCAGTAATGTCACCCATCAGCTGAAGTTTTCAGTGAGGTTTGTCTGACATTCAGGAAAACACGTCTGGCAGAACATGGCCTAATTCTGATGAGGCTATTTCATAAAAAAAAGTAAAAATGCGTTTTTTCCGAAAGTGAAGTTTTGACTGTTGGCTCATGGGTGAGAATGAAGGCGTCAGGCTTCCGAGCTCTACGCTGAACCTCATCAGGCAGTGATTGCAATGGGAAATGTAGCTTGCTATTGCTCTAATTTGAAACGAAATGTTTTTAATTAGTTTAATAAACTCAAATGAAACATTTCTCTTCCAGTGACATCAAGTGTTTCTTTTTAATTAATACTTTAAAAAGTTGTGATGTTTCTGAATACGTTTTCTCAGAAGTAAGTCTTCAAAAGAGCGTGATTTGTAACAGGCCGTGGTATCTCCTGCCTGATTTTTGAAGGTTGTGTAGGAAGGCAGGGTTTGCCCAGTCCTTTTGCAAGCTTTTAGTTGCCATTTGCCGAGAGTTTGCGTGGCACATGGAAGTCCAGGGCCTGTTCCTGTTTGAAACATCTGGATGCTACTGGAATAGAAGTACTAAATAATAAGTTCTGTGGGGTAATGCTGCCCCTACAATAACATCACAGATAACATTCCTTCTTTGGGGTCCTACTTTACTGTGCTAGCGTTACTTAAGGTTTACAAGTCCTCCGAATGGGTCTCTCTCACTGCTAGTTGTCTTAGATACTGCACAAAAATCTACTTCTC